GGGTGTATATTAGTAGGTCTATAGATAGGTTGGAGTTTCCTCCTGGAATGGTGCTGCGGCACTTTTTGAGGATTCTTCCCATTTCAACACATTATCACGTACATATTTTTATCGTTCTTGTTGTTGTTGAAATAAAGCTTAATAGAATTTAAAAGGGAAAAACATGTTCTGACTGTTTACTTAGTACATTCAGTCAGAAAAGCTCTCACAACCTTCGTGTACTAGTAAAGAAAAACAAGATGAACTTATTTTTTAAGGTAATCTAGTCAAAGTGGCTCATGTTCTAGTTCCTGTCTAATGCAATGATTTTTTGGGCACATCTTAGAGTCTAAATTCTATAATTGGTAAAAAGCTTGAGAACCAAATCGAGCCACAAAGCATGGTAGAACTACAGTGGTGTAGATACTCACCAAATAAGGTGATGGAGCATTGTCATCTGAAAGGCTGAAGAAATAAGCCTTCACAGGCAGCCTGACATGAGCAGGACAGAAACATCCACTGGCACCTAACTCAGCTGTAAAACCCTACAGAAATACAACAAAAAATAAGGTCACAGTTCGTCAGTCTGTGAGTCAGTTGCAATGAACTGTATGTTATGACAGTTTTCCTAGTGACAGTAAATTATTTAAGTCTCTATAAAAAGGATGTTAGAAGACAGACAGTCACACAGCTATTGTTGAGTACTTAGAATAAGATGCAATAATGACGGGTTTGAGTATAAGATTTGTTCAGCCCATTAAATAAATATAGTTGTTTTGTATCCTGAATGTTGGTTAAGTTCAAGCTAAAGGTAGGATAACACAAACCAAAGCTTGTGCACATTCAAGAAAATCAAGACAAAGAGTTATCTTGAGCTCTCACTTGCAAAATGTGCTTTCAATAAGTTTTCATCAAACAGTATAAAAGTAAAAAAAAAAACATACTGGGAGCGATTAATGAAATATTATTACTGTGAAAGACCATAAAGTTAACATAAATAAGGAACATTTTAAATTGTGTCCAAGAGAAAATTACCTCAACAGTTCCCAATGGCTCCATTCTACCATTCAACACAGATTCCTACACAAGAGAAAAAAGGTAGTTTTGCTTGCCATCAGTTGCCAATTTTGTATTGGCTGGTTTTCTTGAGAATATCACCTTTTTATTATTACATTTTATTGATGTTCAATTAAATTATATTAAATTACACCCAACCAATTATTTTGGAATGACACTTTGCCAACAGTAACACAAAATTATTACTTATTTCAAGATGGTTGCTTACCTCAAAGTTTCCTAAGAGACTCTGGGTTGTAGAAGCTGGTGCACTTTTGCTAAGTATGGATGTTAGGTCTTTTGAACTTGATTTATTTGAAAATCCACTGAAACATAATGGAAGTGATCAGGATAAGAATAATCATGCACATGTCTAAGAAATGCAATCAACTCGACAATTCCCTTTTCCTCATCCAGTTCAGTACAGTATACTGTTTTCACTTGCACACATGATACATAACCTATGAATGCAAGTCACCAGTCAGAGTATTTCCATGGGACAAATCTTTCACATGTGGGGTGTGCATATTGATCAGGAATTGTGTCAGTGAAGCAAACTCATAAAGATAATTTTTCTTCTCATTTTTCCCTCTTTAACAACAATTTTAAAATTTGAATCACATTCCATGCATTGTTGACTTTTTTGATATTAAGTATAGTAATGCACAGAATCATTTTGTATTGCCAGCTCAAGCATTTGCTAGCTATCTTATTTCTACAAAATTAATGTATCTACCACTTACTTCATTTGCTCTCTAGAGTCATCTTCAATGTCCAAATCTGTAGCGGATCGACGCAGAGGAGCCTAATGAAAAACAAGCAATTGTCAGACTGTGCAAAAATCTGGAAGCAATTTCCCTGACTGGCAACAGGTCCATACTTCTACTTTTTAGCTGGTCCAAGGGATTTGGTGTAATGACAATAAGACATTTTCTAGTCGATATCTAAATATTGTTCATATGCTTGAAAGATTAATGATTGAAAGGAAAATGTAATCAATGCAATCATGTACAACATTCTCAGCCATTACTACCTATCCACACAAGTCAAGTAATTTCAGTCAGTAACAGCTAACTAGCTGAGATAACCCATAAATCAAGAATGATGTGCACTGTTTTTTTTTTTTACAACAGACATGCCATACTCACTGGGCTTGAAGATACTGGAAGACCAGTTCTTGAATTGAAGATGGGAAGAGTACCAGCGCCAACATGCTGAGTTTTAAGTGCCTGGAGGACTCCTTTGGGAATATGGATACTTGAGGACATCTCAGGATCACGACTCTGTTAAAATTTAAGTCCTTTAGTCAAGTCCCAAATACTTCACATCTATTTATCAGTTTCACTGAATAGAAAAAAGCCCTGCATGCAACAGTTTCGCCCCATAAGAATACAGCTTAGTTTAGGATGCATGTCATATCAATTAAAGCATACAAATGCCAACATGTTTTATGGGCCCAGCTGCTCTACTCTTACTCCTAGCTGGAAATATATAATTTTTTTACTTTTCTTGTTTTCCCAATATTAGGTGAAGTCTTCCTGCCAGTGGGGTGTCAGAGTCTGACTTAAGTGACGTACACTACATTCCTTTCCCTACTTCTAATAAGGACCTCTTAAATAAGCAAGATCATAAAATTGTTTAGAAACTTAATAAGTAACCTCCCTAAGGAACCATCAAAAGATTGTCAGAATAAAGGACGAAATCTTGAAAGCTTGAAAGGTCATCCTGGTATCTAGTAATTGATGAATTTTAATAAGTAAAATAAATAAATAATTTCACATGTTAACTATTATAATGATATGCTAAGGTTTTGGAAACTTCCAAAGAGAAACTATTGTTCTCATGTGTTGCTTTAAGTATTTTCTATTTTCTTTACTTTTTAATAATTGGCTTTGAACACTTAAGATGACTCACTTACCTTTTTTGTTTCTATGTTTTGAGTGGGTTTGTGTGTTTTATTTAAGTTGTGTTGTTTTGTTTGTGCCTGTAGAGATATTCCTGGTGTTCCTTCACTAAGACTTCTAATCTTCAAAAAACTCTTTTTCAAGCTTTCCTGTGACATCTTCGGGGAAATCAATACATTCTGGTCACAGTGTCTTTCTATCTGATCCTCAAAAGTTCTGCTGGTGGAGGGATTTGTAATGTTCAAACAGTTCTGTTTATTTGCAAGATTATTTCCTTTTAATGTCTGCGAATGGGTATCAGCTTCAAGCTCTTTCATACAAGACTTCTTCTTCAAGGGAGAAGTGAACAATTTATCATTTGAGTTTGAGCCCTCCAGTCCATTTTTGTGGGTTTCATGACTGGCATTAAGTTGATCAATCTTCGATGCCAGGATTTCATCCGCAAAATTAAATAAGTCACATCTTGGTAGGGAATGAACACTGACACGCAATACTCTGTTGCTGTGGAGATTTGCCACAGGAAACACATGCAGATCTGGATCTTTAAGAAAGCTATTTGATGGGGATTCCTCTCCAGTTTCAGATACTCTGTGGATAGCAAGTTATTACAACTTAATTTGACTGAGAGCACAAATAATGATCAATTTCACGTCACATCCAAGATGACTTGAGTTACTTATAGTTGTGAGTGGCTGGACACTGTGCTTGAGATTTCACACTTACAATGTAGGAGTTAATTTGCACTATGTGATAAAAGTGGAATTTTCACTGGGAAATTTACTATATGTGACCAAGGCTCAACACTAACTTTTCAACTTACTAGCTTAGTGGCTACTGACAACTTAGATCTTACAACAATTTCAGTTTGTTTACTCTGCTCAGCCAAACTGGCTGGTGCATGAAAATCGAAAACCACTGGCCAAAACTGAATTTACACTAGTCTGTGGCGAGTTGGCTATATATGCTATTAGAGTGGAGCCCTGGTGACCCTCACATATAGAAACTGGGAAATATGTGCACTAGGGTGAATGAATGGACAAGCACAGTAAAATGACATACGAAACAACAGGGAGTGAGTAAAATGACACGCAGCTTCTGAGTGCTGTGTCCTGTGGCATGACTAATCCAAATTTTTTTCTTTTGTTTATGTGACATCATGATAAAAGCAAAGGCACGTGTCAAGAGGAACTTACAATACTAAGTTTACTGGGTAATTAATAATGGCAACCCTCGTGGCCTTATTTGGGAAGACTAAACTGTTACAGGACTAAGGTTATAACCTGATAGTAGATAACAGTTGAGTTAGGTTTTACCAACCTGTAAATGATATTAGAAGGTAGAGATCCTTTACTTCTGCTCAGCCAAGCACTCAGCTGTGAAAAATGAATGTGTGACCTTATGGCCTGCATGAGCATGCTACCAGACTGAGTACAGCCATGAGCAGCATCCCACCTGTTAAGAAGGAAAGAGTGGCCTATCACTTGTTTTTCATTCCCATGCTCAAGTGAATAATGTCAGTGACTCTTTATTTAGTGACCATGTTAAAATTTCACCATTCTTCTTAATATTCAAATTACACAAACACAATATAAATCACTTTCAAAACTGCTAATCCTTTTAGTGTGTAGATAGTTTGTCTGACATGAATTTGCCATGTAGACTAACTCACTAATGCATTATCAGTATCCAGGTGGCAGAGCACCATATATTAAAATGTGGAGCTCCTAAAATCTGATTGCAATTTTGAATGGGGATTTAAAATTTTCTTTGTCTTATGTTTGTGACAAGTTAATAAATTTTTCTTAATCTGAGGACAAATCTCAAAATTAGCCTTCTATTTTCATCTACTTGTGAAGAAATAGTTACAAAAAACTTCCCAGGCTTGAAAAAGTTAACATGAGCAATGAGTAAGGAATAAAGAACTTAATAATTAGAAGAGTCCTAATCTTTAATAACAATAATAATAATAATAATAACCACAGAGTGGAAGAACTGCCCATCACACACAATTGCTGGACTTGTCGAGCTTAAGAGCAGCTCTTGCCAACACGAGTATACACGAGTCAGAAAACCCACACAAGCGGGGAAGGCGAGGTGAGGTGCAGATTATGCGGTAAGGCTCCAGAGAGTGTGGCTCATACATGTATCTTGTCAGGATGCAGTGCACTGGCCCAGAGCAAGTATCTCTCTAGACACGACGCAGCACTGAAGGTACTGTTTTACGAACTGTTGTATGATGAGGGAGTTATAGACGAGATACCCCCCTGGTACTCACCCGACAAGCCCAAGCCCATGTATGAGTCAGAGAATGTTAAATCTTATTGGGATGTCCCTATATATGCTGATCAACAAGAGGTCAGATGCAATAGGGTGGATGCACGCATTGTAAATCATATGTGCAAGAGAGTTGTGACGCTGGAAATGAGCTGCCCATGGGTTAACAATCGGACAAGAAAGGATGAAGGGAAGACACTGAAGTACAGACCCCTTCGCTGGGAACTAAGGCAGCAGTTCCCAGGCTGCGAGGTGAAGCAATATAACATCATAACGGATGCCCTCGGGGGGTGGTCACGGGAGCTGGATGTCATGAGGCGCGAGCTGGTGGGAGGCAGAAGCACAGACGTACTGCGAAAGATGGAGAGGGCAGTGCTCTTGGGCACGCTGAATATTGCCCGGACTTTCAAGGTGGCAGTTTGAGTTCCTGTTAGAAGGAGGACCATAGACACAATGGAAAAGCTTTTAAGGATTAGTTAATGTACATTTATTTTTTACTCCATGGCTCACAGGTTACGGTTTTTGCCCTGTGCTGCTTGATTAGAATGTAGCATTCAGTTGATTTCTCTGCGATTATAATAATAGATTAATTAAATATACATAATTTGGATAAATCAACAAAGCTGAAATGGTAAATTGGCCACCGTAATGATTACAAAAGCTGACGTTTCGAGCGTTAGCCCTTCGTCAGAGCGAATAGTTACGAATAGTTGTAATTGTTACGGTGGCCAATTTACCATTTCAACTTTGTTGATAATTATATCCAAATTATTTCGTTACTCCCACCGACGCAGCACCAAACAGTTTCTTTCAAAACTATCAGCCTTTAATTAAATATACAGTCTGGTTAAGACAGGATCATTAGTCTTTCCCAAAGTGATGGTTTTGTTTGCTTCCATCACCATTTTTTTTCTTTCTTAACTACAGACCAGTACATGAATGCTTCTGATGTTGCCTGTATACATCTCCTTAAAGCCACAGCATGCAACTTACCCATTCACTACTCCAACTGTCCATCTTTCCAGTAAAATCAAACTGCTCTGAGCAGGCTCTTGTATTAAAACACTTATCACCATAGGAAGGCTGTTCTCCCATAAAGCATCCATCTTTGCCTTTCTTTCACATACTTTCTGGCACTATGCCAAAAATCAAAAGACAGGAAAGAGTTTGTCAATAGACTTTCATCTCCTTTTTAACAGTGATAATTTGCCACAAATGATCAAGAGATGACAGAGTCTAGATCACTGGTAATAAATCTTAGTGAACACCTCAAAGCAGCTGCTTGTTGCAGTGAAACCCATTCTTTTAGATATATTTATTCCGACACTTCCATCAATAAACATGAAATCCAAACATAACAGTCAACTCCACATTTAGCACAAGGAAAAGAGGCCCCTTCTGGGAGGTGGTAGCTTAAAATGAATTTAGCAATTATACAAAAGGACAAAAACAGATTGAGTCTACCAATTATTTGTCATTTCAATGACAGAGAAACTATGAATGTGTGTAAAAAAATACACTAAATCCGTTCTCGGCTTTTGCAACATGCACCTTTACACTTCAAAATGTGTTGAATCCTTCTGAAATCACTTGAATGCTGGTCAACCCAAAAGACTTTCAACAAAATTGTCGCATGACAGGAGTAAAGTACATCCTTATAGGAGGAGGACATTGGAATTTTCGGTTTTGGCTATTTTTTAGATTGGTTTTCAGTTTTTGTGCTTAAAAAGGTCGGTTTTTCAGTTATGGTATTCATTACGGTTTGCGGATTTTCCATTTTTAAGCATTTGGTTTTCGGTTTTCATGAAAAATACTAATGGGTTTTCGGATTTGATATCTGATGTGGTTTTCGGTTTTTCCTATTTGACCTATTTGGGTTTCAGTTTCTCTTCAATCTGAGCAGTAATCATGCGCTTCCACTGATCTCGAATAGCTGCTACACGCAAATGTTATTGAGAGGAATGTGTGACAAACCAATTGAAATATCGCAGGGATCGCTAGGGGGTTCATGTGTCTTGACTGACGCCCAAGACTTTGACCTTGCAATCTGGAGCATTTAGGTCAAGGTCGATCAGTTTGTGAATATGTCTTCCAACGTGCCAAATACGCCGGTAATGGAAGAAGGTCAAGGACCTTAAAAAGCAATTGTGGATTGTGTTGCGTTTTTTTAATAAAGAGGGGAAAGGCGGCAAGAATTTCAGAAAGAAAAACAAGTTTAGATACAAAGCAAAAGAGAAAAAAGAGAAGCTTGCACAAGCATAAAAACTGTGTTTGGTAAGTCAATCGTACCAATGTCATTATCTACATTACAATAGCTTAATCGCTATATCATATTCAGGGGTGAAGCATCCATATACGCACTACACCCATGCATACAGCTGAAATTTAGAAATATTTTTTTATTCCCTTATAGCATTTGTCTCTTGATCTTTTTCCATAATTAATTAGTTTTTAATCTTTTTCAATAATTATTTGCAATATATTTTAAGAAGGCCACTGGTTTGTCAGTTTTATACTGTTATGTGTTTTACCCTCTTTAAATAAAGTTGATTATTATTATTATTATTATTATTTGTCACATAAAATAGGACCGATTTTGAATTATACTAGCGCGTGTGTTTATTTTTCCAGTGCCAATTTCATTAATCCACAAACCACAAGAAACTGTCTTTAGCTTCTTGGAATAGTTAACTCTCAAGTGATTTTAGGAAGCCACCAACCCTTTTAGCTCTAAAACTCTAGAGATGGGTAAAATAAACAACTAACTACTGCAATTTCCGTCTCATTTAATTACAAAAACATTCTGCGGAAATAGTTTGAAATGGCATTTCTGAGACCCTAAATTTCAAAATTTCTGGAGGAGCATGCCCCCAGACCCCCCTAGTTTGGGGTGCCTTTGGTGCTCCCAATTTCCTTGCTGTGCATACACCTTTAAAATCTCACGCAACGCCCCTGATATATGTATAATATATGGTTCGTTTAGAACAATACAGACTTAAAGAAGACTTACAGTCCTTATACACTTAGAATACAGGATATCTACACCTATGGTAAATTGGAAATTCGTGATCGGCGAGGAAGATCATGACTAATTACCACGAGCGTCTCTTCCATGGTGGAGAAGCAAAGAAAAAGAAAAAAGGAGCATTTCAAGGCGATTCACTCTTATTGGACCTTGAGAGAGCAGCTGAAATAAAGCCTATAATTTAAGCAAACACTAAAAGATACGAATGCCAAGTCTGTGGCATTCACAAATACTGTAATGAAATTAGTGTAGTTTAATTTACTCTGTATGCTCCACTTGTCACCACCGTATCGGATCGATCAGGGTTTTAATAACTGGGATGTGAAAATGTATTGGTTTTGACAGTTTTGGATGCGGTTTTCCGTTTTGATCAATTTTTATTTTGGTTTTTCGGGTTTAGATGATTTTTTTCTACAGTTTTGCGGTTTCTAATAGGCTCCAATGCCCCCCTCTTATAGCTGCTGCTTTGAAAGGTCAAACATGTCACTTAAAAGCAAGAGTTTTAGAGACAATATTAGATTGAGAAACAAAACAACCATATCAAAAGGATGCTTGAGGGATTGATGGTTACTTAAGAGACTGGTCAGTGAAGAGAGAGTTCACTAGAATTATTCAAACTTCAGATGACACATTTCTCTTACCCTACAAGTACCTCTGTTTAAAGGATACCTCCATCTATGGGATACTTTCTGTGGTCCTACAGCTGTCCTTTAAATAATTAGCCCCACTACAAAGGTAAACTTACATCATAGTTTCCTTTCTGGTCACAGACATGAGAAACCACACTGAAAAGGGACAAACAATGAGGTCCTTCCACTCTGCCTTTCTCTGAACACTGTGGAGTACGCCCTTCCAGAATGAGCATTCCAATGTGCACAAAGAACTCTCTAGCCTGCATCTCACACTCCATTTCCTCAGCAGAAACCTCACTTTCTGCTCCAGTTAGAACTTGACAGGAAACAAATTTGGCAAAAACTTGAGATGAGTATTTTTCTCCAGCATTTTACTCCAGTTGAAACTTCTAATAAAACCTTACCCTGAGAAAGAGCTTATGCTCCAGCTGGCAGCTTACCAACAGTTTACAGGCTTTTCTCTTACTTTTTTGATGCAGACTTGTCACTGCTTCAAATTATGAAGTATTCATCTACAGCAATACTAAAACTATGATCAGACCTCTACATTAGACCTTGCCATATCATATAACTTAACAAAATAAACAGAATTAAAAGTATTTTGTATATTTAACTTGAGATCAAAACCTGGTGAACCATTCATTAGAAAACTAATAATTTTGACCTTTGTACCAAAACAATGATCACACTTAAACTAACCATTTCAGAAGACTACCTCTTTATATTCTTATTAAATGAAAACAATAAAAAAAGCGAAAAAATATATCATGAAATAATGTGAAAGAATCCAAGACCGAAAGAATACTTTCTATTGTTTCCCACGAGTTCATAATCTGTCAAAACCAAATTCAAAAGTGCAAGAGGGAAATTCTGTATTTTCATATACATGTACTGAAAACATTTCTGCACATCCAGTTGATGTGTCATAAGATAAGACTCGAGTTACATGCTTCAATTAGAAGGTGCACATTCAAAGATGGCGATTACATATCCTAATAAAGGCATAAATCTTGGGCCCTGAAATTTTGACAGGTACATTTCTAAGATCGAGAACTATTGGTGTGCAATTTCTTTTTGGACTCATCTTTCGTTTTCAATTACCCAATCATAATTCCAACTTTTTATTGTTATTAACACAAGCAAGTTCCTTAAATAGATGAACTAGATGAACATTGAGTTCCTTTCATTTAAAAAAAAAAATTACAATAACAAATCCTACCAATAACAAGTCGTTCCGGAAAGGGTTCTACGGCGACCGAAACATACAGGCTATATTTATTGCACAACCCTCAAAAATCGTACGCTGAAGTTTATACCAGACAACAATCATGCATTTTAAATGTCGAGGAATATTTCAGTTACAAAGGATAGCATGTATAACAAGATTTACATAAGAATAAAGCTTACTGTATATTCCAATAAGTGTGCAACTCAGGAAATTTTACAAGTAAAACTCTTTCTGTGTGGATGACTCAAATTACGACTCTGTTTACTGAATATTTCACAGACTTGTTGAACTATTGCGAACACAACCTATTGAGGTATTGAATAACTTCGGCTTTGAACAAAAATCATCATAGGATAAAATGTATGAAAGATGAGTTTACACTAAAGGTCGAATGCTGTGGCGAATCGTGCCAAGCAAATTAAGTATCTAAGAGAACTCGCACTTATTTCATAAACGGAGTTATGTCAATCAAGAAGACTAATTTAAAATTTCTCAAAACAGCAAATCTCGGCGGTACAACTTTCACATAAAAACACGTCAGCAATTGCTCAAAAATATAAGAATACCGTCACAAGCTTACCTTCACTAGGCTTCATAATTTTTCTTCTTGCGAAGTTAACTAAATTAACGTTATCATTTTTGTACCATATCGGGCGAAAGTACGGCCACATGTACTCTTACTTATTTCTACTAGCGTGGAAAAGACACAAATTTCAGGAATCGGCGACGGGAGAAAAACATTTCTGTTTTGCGCTCTAATATCATAGAGCCAGACAACTGATTCCAGTGGAGTTATGAAATCTGATTGGTTCGCGTCACTGAGTAGATTCTGTCATCAACAATAGCGAGTTCACGTGCCGGAAGTGAAGTTTGAAAAGCTGCTAAAAATAGCTACACGTGCAGTTCCTTAGGTCTTTCCATGTTGTCTGAGCCAATGAATAACAAAAACAAATATTTCATTCTACATTTGCCACTTCGGTTACCCCATAGTTAATAGAGGTTACGAGATCCACGAAACATCAGTGAGAAGATCGGCGATTGAATTTACAAAACGTGACTGCGTTACTAAGATTTTCCTACCGAATCCTCTACTTAACTTTATTTCAGTTTGCAGCTCTGAGTTTGTGAAGTCTGGTAAAAGGATAATTCTTTGAGAGCCTTGTCTTTGTCATAATTGCGTTGCTTAGCTACAAGTTGCACTGGAGCTAAGGCCCCGCTTGTAGCGCGGCTTAGTATTAACCTCCACATCATTAAGGCAATCAAACACAAGTCACGCTAACAGTTACCGCAATCTTCTTAACTTCTGTTATTCATTCTTTGTAACTATTTATTTTGTCTCTAATGTTATTATTATCGCCATTATTATTATTAGCATCATTATGATTATTACTATTAAAAAATATTATTACTCTAAAAGATAAGAAGTTGTGGGTCAAGATCACCGACAGCGATTTGACAACAGCTTTAGATGACCTTTTGCCACCAGAGCGACCAATGGTTACGCTACGAAGGAGGCGCCATAATTATATTCTCCCGCTAGTCAGAACTGAACATTTGAAGAGGAATTTTGTTAATAGATGTTTGTTCTCTTATTAGTCAGTCAGTTGGTAATTTAGTTAGTTAATTAGTTTTATACTTGCTAAGTTCATATCATTGTAACTAAACACGTTTGTTGTTTAGAGTGCTTAATAAAGACTTTTTATTTAATTTATTATTATTTTGAGACTTCTTCTTTTACCTTAAATAATTGCAAAAAATACGGTTTCTCTTTAAAAAAAAACCTTTATTATCATGACAGTTATCATCATGGATTTTATTACTATATATTATAGTATTTATTACTATTATCGTCACTGCTATTACTAATACAAATATTTTATATACAACTTTAGTATAATTTCAGAGCTGAGCAAAAGAGTTTCTAGCAATCTGATTGGTCGAGCGGTTCCTTATACGACGCTATCTAAACCGCTCCACGCGGTTTATATATAATGTTAAAATAAAGTGTTAGTAAATGTTACTAAAATGTTATGATTTTAGAAATTTCTCGTTGTTCAGCTCTGTAATTATACTAAAACAATTATTCACCTCAGGTTCGGTAAATATTGTCGAATAATCCCCGAGACGAAGTCGAGGGGATTATTCGACAATATTCACCGAACTTGAGGCGAATAATTGTTAAATATTATGATCATAAAACTCACCAGTATTACACAACAGAGAAAAACAATGCACAAACCAACCAAACAATCCGTTAGCAATTAATATAATAACGGCATTATGGCTGGAAAATATGCTTGCCTACCCAGACTTAGCATAGACTTTATTCAGGTTCAGGTTTCAGGAGGTAGATTTCCGTTGTGGTTAGTATATCAGAAAGCTACCAGATTATGCCTAGGATAAATAAAATAAAACCGGTATGTTTTAATTCGTACACACCCACTTAGAGCAATCCACTTAAAAAATACACTTACATTGTGACGAATTAAACCAGAATCACTATTCGTACACTTAAAGTGACAACTTTCACTTGTCTCAAGCAAGAAGTTCTGATCTTCTCTCGTGTGTCATTCCATTTTGTGGGTACCGGGTATCAAGAGGAACTTGACTAAGTGATGCAGTTTTGACTCTAGGTATGTGTTCTATTTGGTTGTTCATCTGAAACCTTATTGCCTGTTTTTCACTATCACATCATCATCCGAAACCATTAAACAAATAAATTTAAAAATCAACGAGATAAAACACGATGAATATTCAAATAGTCTCGCAAAGATTCAGGTCTGTGCGGGAGATATTCCAAGAAATGTTTCCCTCAAATTTATCAGGCCTTGTATGAAAACGCCCTGTTAGTGTCCCTCTGAGTGACACGAATATGGCGACCAGAAGCTAACAAAAACATATGTCATCAAGTTTTGCTATAAAAAAGCCTGTAGTCGTCTTCTGAGGGCTCATAAACAACTATATGATTACTAATTCTCACACAAAGACTGTTAAGATTGCGAAATCTCAGCAGATAAGACACTTTTTTAACCTGTGACGGCATGTTAATATCGTGTCACCCAAAAGCTTAGAAGTTCAATGATGAAAAACCCGATCTAACCGTAAATTTGTAAAAGGATAAGTCTTCAACTGTTCTATTAACTGACCGAACTAAAATCTCTTAACGATTGATAACTCCTTATTTTTAATTTTGGTCACATGAAAACTAAGAATTTGACAGATCAAGCGACCAGTTAGCTAAGGCTGTCCATAGCATTTTTCGTCACAGTGTATGCCACACAGGTGGCGCTGATTGGCTAGTTTGGAAGTGATTAGCAAATATACTAAAACAGTGGATAGCATTGAAGGCGCGCTCTGATTGGCTAGTCAAACTCCGAATATCCTTTGCTATTTACCTCCGAGCAACTCGGGGAAAAAATGGCGTCCCGGTTTACATCCGTGACAAGAGAAGAAATCACTCAAATCGATTTTTGGTGGTGTATATTATCTCACTGTTTTAGTATATACTAAAACAACTATTCACCTCAGTGTCGGTGGTTAGC